AAAATTCTTCAAAAAGAACACAAAGAATGGCCTTCTCAGGTGCCATAGTTGCAACTCTTGCGTCATCAGAACAGGGTGTTCAACGCACCACCGTTTCCGTTAGAAAAATGTTTTGCACCGTTTTTGTCGGGGCTGAACGCAGCCCTGGAAAAAAATCGTTTTGAAAGTGATCACAACGATATCGTTCCTCTGTATTGTTATAGTTGTGGTGTGAACTATGCTATTCTTTAATATTGAGAACGATTTTTAGAACTATATCTTTATTGTTATCTTTATAGTTATCATGCATGGTGTGAACGGGCCTTTACACATGTGATGCTGCCTCAGATATTGGCCAAAATAAGGTATCTTATAAAGCACCATAATGTTGCCGCCTATCTGCCTGGAGCACACACGTGATGCCTTAATATGCCGTCTACATAGGCAGCTAATTAGGTTTTGGAACAGAGCTGTATTCTCCTCACAATGAAAGTGGAGCACGAGTTTCATACAGTATATACACAATGCTAACAAGATTTCTAGCCGTGAAAACTGAGGCAAACATCAGCAGAGCATTCGAGACTCTTCATAGAGTGCTTTGTAGAGCACAGGAACATTAGATATCGGTCGCTGATGGATTTAAACCGGCCTTTAATCTTAGCAGGTCTGGCCTTGCACTGGACAAGACTCAAAAACGAAAGGTGGGGTTAAATGGGGGCGGGGTCTGTCCTCAGAAACTATGGAAACCAAACTAGGTCACTGAACAAACTATTTTCTATGATGTGCGTACTATATATGTGCTACATTTCCATATCAAAGATGCCGAAGTCTCTCAGCCTCTCCTCACATCTCCTTTAATTGGTTCCTTCAGAGCAAGCATCAGCCGGGACCCCTTCTACGACATGCTGGCCACCAGGAAGAGACGAATCGCCAACAAGAAGTGAAGTCTGCATCCAAACCGCTTCCCCAAAGCCTGCAACACACACTGCCTTCTGGGACAGCCTTTCTGCGAGTGTGTGTTTGACGGGGCCCAGCAGCCGAAGAATTCATGTTTATAGTTCCTTTCTTGTGTCTCTATGCGTATAAAAACACAGCTGTCCTGATCTGTTTGTATTTGCATGGATGTTGGTACAGTATGTATAACTGGGCGGCTCATCGAGAGGCCAGAGGAAGTCGTTTGTGATCTCTCACTTCAGATGTCAGATAGAAAAGCCATTTATTTCAAGAGAATAGACCTATTTCAATGCCCAACGACCTGACGATGTGATCGCAAAGGGCTCTGAGACAATAAGCCTGTGTGGCCATTATGTCTTATGGTGCTAGAAGACTTCCTGCGTGCATGTGACCTCAAGCTCAAATTGACATTAATGATCCAATTCTAACACTAGGTGGCGGTCTGGAGTCAGCTGGACTGATTTCATGTTGTTAGAGTAAGAAACAGCAAATATGCAATACACACACTGCCGTTCAAAAGTTTGGGATGAGTACGATTTTTAATGTTTTTTTTTTTTTAAAGAAGTTTCTTATGCTGATCAAGGCTGCATTTATTTGATCAAAAATACAAAAAAAGCTGTAATTTTGTGAAATATTATTGCAATTTAAAATAACAGTTTTCTATTTTAATATACTTTAAAATATAATTTATTTCTGTGAAGCAAAGCTGAATTTTCAGCATCATTACTCCAGTTTTCAGTGTCATATAATCCTTTAGAAATCATTCTAATATGCTGATTTATACGGAGATTTATAGATGGCATGCAGGAAAAAAATAGTAGGCTAAATCATGTGCATGATTTACTATTTTGTTCCCTCGATTTATAAATTGTGCGCACGATTTACTAATTCGTTCCCTCGATTTGCTAAATTGTGCACACGATTTATAAATCGAGAGAACGAATTAGTAAATTGTGCGCACGATTTAGCAAATCGAGGGAACGAAATAGTAATCGTGTGCACGTTTTAGTACATCGAGGGAACGAATTAGTAAAGCGTGAGCATGATTTATTTATTTTTTCTTGCATGTCATGTGCGGGACTCCGTAGATTTATTATCAGTGTTGAAAGAAGTTTTGCTGCTTAATATTTTTTGGGATCTGTGATGCTTTTTTCAGGACTTTTTGATAAATAAAAAGTTAAAAAGAACCGTGTTTATTCAAAATAGAAATGTTGTGTTACAATATACACTACTATTCAAAAGGTTGGGGGTCAGTAACTTTTCTTTCTAAATTTCTAAAGAATTTCTAAAGAAATTAATACTTTTATTCAGCACGGATGTATTAAGTGGATAAAAAGTGATAAGACTTAAATTGTTAGAAAAGATTTCGATTTTGAATAAATGCTGTTCTTTTTAACAATTATTCCTCAAAGAATCCTGAATAAAAATCACAGGTTCCAAAAAATATTAAGCAGCACAACAGTTTCAACACTGATAATAAATCAGCATATTAGAATGATTTCTGAAAGATCATGAGACACTGAAGACTGAAGTAATGGCTGATAAATTCAGAAGTATGTTAAAATAGGAAACCAATATTAGAAATTGCACAATATTACTGTTTTTTTCTGTATTTTTGATCAAATAAATACAGCCTTGATGAGCATAAGAGTCTCCATTAAAAAAAACTTTAAAATCGTACTGATCCCAAATTTTTGAACAGCACTGTATATAGATTTAGTTTCCGGGTACCAGTCCATTAACTTTTCCATTCTGGTCTTGGATGACACTATCTACTGTTACGTATGATGTGTTGATGTAATACAAATGAATTTGCTTGCTTTTGTGTTCTTATGACAAGTATAGTTAAATATCTTTTTATATTTATTTACTTCGTGAACTGATTTTATTCTACTCATAATTGGTAAACTATAGATCTAAGTTATGTGTAAATACTGTAAACATTTGTCTTCTTTTTTTGTGTAAGTACAATCTCTGTAGCATATAAATCTACTGGCTTTTTAATGTTAGGGCTCTTTGCTCAGCAGCCTTAAACTTAATGTACTTCTGTCAGGGAAAAACAACTTGTAATTCTGGAAAATTAAGTTTTTTTAAAATCCAGTAGCAATTTATATGTGGTTGTAAAATAACAGCCCTGTCCGAGGGCAGAATACTATCTCCAATGCCCTTTGGGGCTCCAGATTAATTTTTATATGTCTGTATAAGCTATTGGTCGAAATGTACATGAAATATAAAACATTCATAAAGCTAAAACTTTCAAGAGTGATTTTTTTTTTCGTCACACATCACAGCTATTTGATCCAACTTTGATCACACCTTGAACACACTTACCGCTTTTTTGAAATGGCTCTAAATCACATTCGGAGTATTAAATTGAAGTTTCAGTGTATTTAAGTGACATGAACAGTGAAACGTTGGTAGAGTAAGTGGAGAATTCAGAAAAACAAGGCAAGTTTTGCAATATGTTTAGATTATATCCATTGCACTGTAAATGCAATCTTTCTGACACTTCCAAAATATGAATGTAGAAAGCATAATCATACATTAGTTATGACAAAAAGACACAAAACAACATTTCAGATACACTTTCAGATACAAAAAAGAGAGAAATGCAACATTTGTAATATATGTATACTATACTATGTTACGCCATGTTTTATCAAACATGGATGAGCCAAAACAAGTGTTGAACGTTTACAAAGAACTGTTTCATTAGCTTGGCTTTATATTCATAGCAGAAAAGACATTAATTTTAAATAAGCTGTGGACAACTATATAATATTACAATTCCATCACAAATATTTAAAAGATTGGCAGGTTATATTCTACTTTGATGTGTTTCATTTCAGATGTGCAATAATACTACGGGATATTTGTGAGAGTTGTGGTATATTTGTTCATTTGTATTTTTTCTATTATATATATAGTTTGTATAAGTTGATGAGTTAATTTATTTCTAAAGATATATATATATATATATATATATATATATATATCTGCACTTATTTACTAATAATTTTTTCAGAACAACCTCTATAAGAATACAATTTGATATGAATAGATTTTACATTGCATAAATACATAGTATAATACACATTAATTTTGTACTATTCTTGAAAGCAGATTGATCTAGTTGAAGGCTAGTGTTCCATAATGGCTACAATTCATGTTTTTTATAAGCACCATACATATTTACATTGATCAACACCCTGTTGTACATTATGGTGCCCCTATTATGGGTAATGAAGGGTTCATATTTTGGTTTTGGGAGTCCCCAACAACAGGTTGTCATGCATGCAAGGTCAAAAACACTTTCATTGTCTTATAATATGCATTTATTTTTACCTTACTTGCTCAA